GATTCTGATCATGTTTCTCTACCATCAAACTGAATGATCTATTTTTTTAATCAACTTAAACCCAATTACCTTTAGTTATAAATGAGCTGGGGAAAATCCTCAATCATCCAGGTCATAGTATTCTAAGACAGTTTATAGTTATAAAGCACATTTAGCAAACAAGTAAACAACAAATAAACCAGTAAAATTAAGATAACTCCAAAAATTTAAGCATCCAGAGAAATAAGTAAAATATATTCAGGTCATGTAGACCAACACAGGAATTTTTCAATGAATTCTACATTTGACGTATAATCCCTGAAGAAACGCTGGCAGAGGAGAAGCATGCTGTATTTTTACAACAGTCAATCCCAGTTAAGAATGGGTAACACCAGTTTTATACTGGTTCTTTTCATGGTACCAGATGTATATCTAATATCCCAAGCTTGACCCAAGCTGACATGAGACCAGAATAAAGAGGGTCACAATAGTTTCCAAGCAATTCATGTGGTTATGTTTTATTTATATCATATATAGAGATTATTATTTAAGCTTGGAATTGCAGGAAATAGTTTTTCACTGCAAAGGTATTAACATTTTCACACTGGGTATCAAAAAATATAAAGGTTTTCATGCATGAGCCTAAATATTAAATTATACCTCCTCTAGGAATGCTTAAGTTAGAGGTGAGTTAGAAATAATAAAATATCCAGCTTAAACTACATATTATCTATCCAAGGGATGTTGTTTGCCATTTTATACCATATTATAGTGGGAAAGGCAGAGAGAACATAAAGTTAGAGGTTGAACTTAACAAATACTGGACAGTGGGAGAAGAAACAGAAGAAACGTTAGCTACAATATAGCTGCTTTTTTCTTTACATGAAAAATATTTTAATGTTTTACTTTGTATAAACATTTTTGATTAATTCATGTGGCACAAATCCTTTTCTTTTCTTGTAACTTGTGCTGCTTTCTATGACAGTTTGAATTAAAAGACGGAAGTATCAATAGTGTTAATAACAAAAAATATATACTTAGATCCGAACATAAACGTTCCCTGTTTGTAAGATTCGGTTGAGTGTTGATGAGCTATATTTTTAACGGATAAGAAAATGTAAAACAAAACACTTCAGAAAAGAGTCTTGGAATTTCCGTGGAGCAGTGAAAGCATCACGCGTCCAGCATGAAGCTAGCCGCTGCGGTGGTTTCCCCTCCGGAGAGCCGCTCTGCTTGATTCCCCTTCCAGTCCTGGGGGAAGGTTTTAATCCACCGGCGGAGGGGGAGACGAAACGGGACCTTCTTTAGGACTGTGAAACAGGTGGGAGGAGGGTTATTAGTTTTTTCCTTCACTGTGTTTTCTGGTGGTTATTTTAGCTAACAGCTAGCCGTTAGCTTAGCTTAGCCTGCTTTAGCTTTGTTGGTAACCAACAGCTAACCTCGGTCATCCTGACTGAGGTTCACAACACCTGTCCTCCTTATTATTACGAGCTTTCTGGGGTTTTAACTTAAAGACATTAGTTATTTAGTCCACTGTAGCTCCACAAAGCAGCGCGTTATGTAGCTAGCTAGCTTTAAGGATATCTCTACTAATAAAAACTCAATCCTAAATGAGACGTTCACTGGAAAACTAAAGAAATCCCGATTTTTCCTAATGTTCTGATTATAAATCAGTTATTGACAAGTGAATCACATTTATTGATGCATCTTGTTTCTCATCCCTTTTTCAGCAATAATTTTTACTAGATACATTTGCAAGTTTGTTTTAGGGTTAAAATAAGAAAGAACATCAGCTAGCAGTACGATTTTATGAGTTTATGAGTTTAAGTCAATCTTAAAGGAAAGGTTCGGTCATATTCAGAGTTCAAACTTCTGAAAGTACTTTAAATATGAAATTATTACTCTCTGTTCAATAAATTATAAGTGTTTTTCTCAGAGTTTGGTTGAGCTTGGTCTGCTTCTATTCTCAACCAGAAATAAAAAAGGGATTCCTACTGTTACTAAAAATAAACGTATTTATCAAAAAAGTTTCACTGACGTCATCTATATAATTTATTTATTTTAAAATACAGGCTTCAGGAAAACTCCAAAATAATATGGCGGTATTCAGGTGTAATCAGAAGAGTCCCACTTTGTTAAGAAATTATTTTTAACTTTTTTTTTTTTTACATGCTGTCCTCTTTGAATTACACCAAAAACTTTGCAGACATCTTTCAGCCAGCTGACTGCCAGTGCACAGTAAATAAAGATGAAGTGCAGAGCTGTGCTGCTGTGTTCATTAAACAGACATAAGATAAAGAAAGCTATAGTACTTCCTTTATCATCTTAAGTGGAATTTGTAATAATTGCACTTTGATAAATTTACCTTTTATTGCTGGAACTATCAAATTCTGACATTGCCTAATCTTCAATAAAAGCATGCAGCTATATATTAAAAATAAGGTGAAAATATTGACATTGATATCAAACATATTTTTGTGTAATAACTAAAATCCCTACTATCCCAAATATTTTCAATCACTCAAAAATAGTTATTTTATGTTTTCCTTTTGCCATCATTTTAGAACCACAAACAAAAAGAAAAAACATCATAAAAAGCCTATTTATAAAAAACAATTTAATTTACAGTTTGAGGGCAATAAAACTATACACGGAAATAATCCAGTTTTTGTTTAATAAGATCTCAACATTTTGAGATCGTATTAAAGAATTAATAAAAAAAAAATATTTAAAATCAATCCACTGGACTTTGTCTCCAAGTTTGAAGATGTTTCTCTTCCATCCAGGAAGCTTTTTCAATTCAAAATGTCAGAAATAGCGTTGAGTTCCAGGTTTTATCCAGCAGCCCCATTCTAGTAAACCAGCTCCACCTGCCAGCCGCCTAAATCATTTTGCCTGCGAGTGGTCTAGCCTCGATCAATGCCCCAGGCCCTAAATCTGGCCGGCCAATCACAACGCAGAGATGTGTTTTGGATGTAGTGCGGGGTTTTGAGAAGGTGACGACTACCTGCACAACGCTGAAGAAAGCACAACAGTAGTGGAAGCAGCAGCTTTCAATGGAGCGCTCCATTAAAAATTAAAAGTTCTCTTTCTGTTGTTCAGTGAAAGTACATTTTAAGATCATTTGAGGCCTAATATTTAAAGCGTGACTATGTGGCCCATTTACAGATTTAATGCGTAATAAAAAAAAAAAAATTTCCGAAGTTGAGAGGAGCGCGGTAACCAGCGGAGCTCCGAGGCTAACGGCAGCCAGGGCTAACGGCAGCCAGGGCTAACGGCAGCCCGTCTGCAGCGGCCCTCTCTCGGCATAGCCGTGTGTGAAGGACCGCTGGCTCTGATGGTGATTTTTGACTCAGCTTTGGAATCAGTTCTGGAAGGATCAGACTTTGGGTTTTCGTTTAAACGTGAGCAGGAAGAGGCTCTACGCTCATTCATTTTTAAAGGCATACTATGCAACATTTTTCAGTTAATTAATGTGTCCCATAACGTTTTGGATGATTAAATGAGTCATTTCAGGTCGAACAAAGGTTTTCTCGGCCGCCCTGGTGGTCTGTAGGGGAAATACCGTACTTGCAATTGCAGTACGGTATTTCTGGGGGGAGCCTCGCTGGAAAATCAACACCGGTTGCATAGTATACCTTTAAAAAGGACGTATTCGCCGTTTTACCGACAGGCTGTTTGTTTCCACTCCCTCACCAGCTTCCTGTCGCGCTTCATACGTCACAGTCAGTTGCTCTCATTGGTCAGAGCGTTGGCCAATAGGAGCAGACATGGTTTGAAAAACAACGGGTTGTTCTCATCAACAATCTTCCAATGTCACATTCAGTGGGGCCAGACTAGATTACACATTTATTCTCACATTTATTCTCACATTTAGTCTGGTTTATCAGGCTACAGTAGCACAACAAAAATACAGTTTTAGAATTAACATTGCAGTTACACAGGATGTCCACCAGGGAGTGCTGACAGCCTGAATGTTCTCTAAATTTTGAAATGTTAAAATCAGATATTAAAACTCTTAATATATATATTAATAAGTTATATAAAGCCTGGAACTCAACGCTATTCCTGACAATTTTAATTGAAAAAGCTTCCTGGATGGGAAGAGAAACGTCTTCAAACTTGGAAACAAAGTCCAGTAGATTGTTTTTAACGTTTTCGGAATACCTTCTCTGAACGATTATAAAGGTGCAGATTGTACTGAAGAATAAAAGAAGGGCATTTTCTCATGTGTTTCTGTGTTTCGTATCCACAGACTGCAGCCATGGGTCCAGAGAACACACCATCTGAATCTGAATCTTCAGAGGAAAGTATGTAAATAATTATCCTGTTAACAAATATTAACCAGCTCCAATTGCAGGTATTTAGCCTTGTTAAGGTTTAGGTAACCCTTGTGTTTAGAATGGTGACTTTTCATTCAATCTGAAGTCCTTTTAAAATTCCTGAAGTTAACCATTTTCACCAAACCGGTTCCTGTTTCCACCGATAAAAGCTAGCTCTGTCCCTGGGGGGTGTATATCTTTGAGAGATATGTATTTGTAATATGTCTGCATATCTGATGTATTTATTAACTGGAGGACCAAAGCCTGATCCTAATGAGGCGGGCTACGATTTAGATACCTGGCCTTATGCTACGTCCACATACACACGCTTTGAGCAGCAGAAGCAGACAGTTTACATGCCAAGTCTGTGGTTAACGCGGATCAAGGCGCATTAAAAAGTCCTTCAGCGTGTTTCGAGCAGCAGGAGCAGTGCAATATGACGTATCTGAGCAGCTGAGGCATCGCCTCACGAGCTTCTGAGCATCTGAGGCGCATG